TTGGGCTCGTTATATCAACTTACGCGCAAATACCCTTGAGAATGGTATGAACCCACCTCTTCTCCCCCCAGTTATGGGTTAAATAATAAGATTTTTATCACTAAAAAAATTATTATCTCCAAAAAGTATATAAAATTTTGTTCAAAATATTTAGATTTTCGTATTAAATAACCCATAGAGGTGTTGAAATGCCGCTAAACAAAAACAACCAACAACCAACCAATCTCCCCACGGTAGTAGAATGTAAAAAAATCGGTGGGATGCCCATACGCGTATATATGGGCCAAGGGCAAAAATTGTCCAGGCCTGGCGACTACTGTCACGCTGGCATCAGTATCTTTAGTGCAAAGAGGGAGATGCTGAAATTCCCGGGAACTAGGCATCTCACATAGCTAGAAGATTTAGAGAGAACAGACACTGCACTTTGATCCCAGCTTGAAGGCCGAATAAAATCGGTAACCGGTCTGATAATGTGGAATGTTTTCGGACGGTGATTTTAATTCGAGGGTGAAATATATACAGACAATTAATCGCCTGATTGTTGTGCCGCCTTCTTTAAGAAGCAAAATACAAGACTCTCAGTTTTCTGTAGATTATCGCTGACGTGTATCGGCTTGAATTTCGAAACCTGCTAAATTACACATTTTCAACATAATCTCATTTTTAGCCGGCCATTAATCTATTACAGTGTGCAGAACGAACGAAAATTACTAGTGACATTTAAAAGGAAAGAAAATTCCGCTTTACTGTAATCACCACGGCACGTGACATAGCAATAAAAACTCGACTGAGTAACAGTGTCCGAATTTGTCTTTCCCTTACAAGTAGCTATTAGATTTATTACGTGGGTTGTTGATAAGACACGTGTTCCTGATGAGTGAATCTTATTGCAGCTGGTCTAATTTTTCTGATCTATATCACTGCGTATCCGCAGTCCCGTGGTTAGTGCATCGAACTGAAAGCTTAAGGGCATACCTTATTTCCACAAACCTCATATTTGGGCTGGAGCTACTCAATCCTCAATTTTCAGGCTCTATCGGGTTCAAAATTGTTTACGCACTCTTGTAGGGAATGACTTATTTCCCATTTTACATTTCTTTCCCCAAAGCCTACATTACTGTATCGCTATTTCCATGGCAAATGTTCAGATGAGTTCCATTCTTTTCTTTTTTTTCTTTTTTATAATCATTTCATCCCAACAAGGACGGGAATGCCACTAGTACGAAGGGAGTTGCAGGGAGTGAAAGTGAAAGAGAAGACTGAGAATAGGGAAAGGACAAAAGTTGAACGGGATTCAAGAAGACAGAAGATGGCGATTGACGTTGCATTTAAACTTTTGAAGATTGTAGTTGGCAGGGTAGCAAGTAAACGAGAATGAATAGCCTCGTCCGAACGAGACTTTCATATGGATGCCATGCATGGAACCAAACCCGTTCAGAAATATCTAAAGTATCAGCTGTACAAAACTACTTCTTAAGATCAACGGTGAATAAAGGCTTTGAGTGAGTAAAGTTTGAAGATCTTGGCAAAGATAATCCTTCTTTAAACATTGTGGACTGGCGCTACAGAATCACAAAGAACTCTACCAGATAACAGAAAATAGATAACTTGAGAACTACCAACAGCAGCAACAACTAAAATGGATAGCACATGTAACTCGAAGAGAAAATGATGACATAATCAAGATATTAACATTTCACGCGACTTCATCTAGAAGGTTCTGAAGGATGAATGATAATGGTAATATTAGCCGTTTCCCTACAAGGAAACATATGGCATTCACTGACCGAGAAGCCAGTACTGTTTTCGGTTGAAATTTATAAAATATTTCTTTTAATCTTTTGGAGCCCTGACGACCGCTTTACCGGTGGTAGAGAAAAATGATGTAATGCCCAGCCACTGGTTGAACGGTGGGTAACCACTTGTAACTATTTTTAATATCTACCGTTAAACATTACATACCAATTATTTGCGAAATTTTACTCAGGAGTTCAGGCAGAAAGGGTTAAAATTGTTTAGGAACGTAGGGTTCAAAGGGTTAAAGTACTTCTTTTTTGGGAGGGGACAGGTTTCTGAAGTTCAGTAGCTTTTATCGCTCTTTCCAGTATTGATAGGGGTTTCCTTCCTAACCTTTTATTACTTATTCCCCTACTCAGATACTTAAAATCTATAACGACTTGATTTGGACGTCTCAAATACGTAGTTTAAAATTTGTCTCTTTTGCTACCAGCTATTTTGTCTTTATACAGTTAATAGTTAGTCTTTTCTTCGTTCTCTTTTTATAACATTTTAGAATTTATTCTTCTCACTACTATACCAGTCTCCCCTTGTACTATGACTTGAGATTATATATAAACACGTAAAGTGCATACTGCATATAAACATTATTTATTCCGGATCAGGGTTGGTGCAAAGGTATCGTCCCCTCCCCACTTAATCTATTATCGACCAACCATCTATGATACGCCGCTCCCTCTACTAAAACTAAATTTTCATAAGGTTAGTATTCAAATAAAATATAAATTTTATTGTAACCTAATTATGTAAAATAATAGATCATAAGTAAACAAGTCAACTATAAAAATTAAAAATAAATACAATGTATCTAAATACAAATTAGAGACATGTCAATAGATCGTTCTATTTTAAATCAATTTTGGGGACAATTTTTAACATTATGGATAAAAAAATAGTGAAATTCATGTAATGGTCTTTGGAGACTTAACAGATTTGGACAAAAAAGAACACAGAATTACGTCAAATTTTTCATTTCTTAATCGTCAGTTGTGCTTAGTTTAATTCTTAACATATATAAATGTAGGTAGAAAAACACAAATGTTAAATTAGCGAGGGTCACAAAGCAATACCCGGTACCCCTAATCAGGCTTCGTAGGTCGTATGCACCTGTCCAGTTCAGGATACATGGCCAAAAGCCTTGTCAGGTATTGTTTATTACATATATGCTTTCTATGAGAATGGGAAATACAGTTGGTTGGCTGGTCAAATTGGGCAAATCACATAATTAAGTCAAACTGTGTTTCCATTAAAAAAATTCAATTTTCAATTGTTCTATGTGCAGTATCCATATTGTTCCTTATTGTTTCCATTTTCTCTAAAACTTTGTCGTTGCTCACATGTTCAGTCCATAGCATCCTCAGCATCCTCCTGTAGAACCACATTTCTGTTGCTTCAAGTCTCTTCTTCATCTGTGAGGAGATTGTCTAACATTCACTGTCATATAGGAGGACTGGTACTAACGTAACAGTTCAGTCCTCTTTTCTTTGTTTGTAACGAAATTTTTCTCTTTCGTAATACTTTGCGTAGCTTTTGGAAGGCATCTTTGGTTATCCCTATGCGTCTTTGGATTTCAGAGTCGTACTCTTTGTCCTCTATTAAAACACTTCCCAGATATTTAAATTTTTGTACTTGTTTGATTTTTTTTGTATCGCTAATTTATAATTTGCCTGTTGGGTGTTTCCTTTTGCTAACAACCACGCATTTTGCCTTCTTGAAATTGATGTTTAGTCCATTCTTCTCGCCTTTTTTCCCCACTAGTTTCTGTAAGAGTTTTTGTAGTTTTCTTTCTGTTTCTTCTATCAACACTGTGTCATCTGTATATCTTATGTTGCTAAGATTGTGACGGTCAATAATGAATCAAGGTAGGACTTCTAATTCTTTCAGAATCACCTCACCGTAAAGGTTGAATAAATCCGGCGAGATATATCCTTGTCTTATGCCCCTTTCTATTTTTGTGTAATTGTTGAATTCCTTTTCTATCCTCGTGTAGGCGGTTTGCTCTCAGTATGGGCTCTGGGTAATTCTAATATCCTTCCCAAATAAATCAAGCTTACCTAGCAGTTCACATAGTTCTTTGTGATGTACCTTGTAAAACAGGGATAATATATAAAACATTAGTATACAACCCTTTACATTTGTATTGCTTTTTCTGATAACATTCTCTCAGAAATGCTTTATTGTAAAAGTTGAATAAGTCCGATGAGAAGACACGTCCTTACTAAACTGTTGGATAATAAACAAAGCAATCATTGTCACTTAAATTGACAACTATCAGACCTCTTCAAAATCTATGTAATAAAGGTCATTTGATATTGTCTAGATTAAAATATTATCAAACAAGAAACAAATCTATTGGAAGACCTCATAACTACCGTCAAAAAGAGAAAGCTGAAATAGTTTGGACATGTATTAAGAGACAATAATATTTCACTTACGCTCCTACAAAGGTAACAAAATGTAACTAGTGTTGACAAACATGTCAGCATCTGATCCAGGGCCTCTTGCATCTGTACTGATACGCATTCATCACATAATGTTAAGATTGTGGCCACTAATAATAAGTCCTGGTAAGACTTCTAATTCTCTCATAATCTCACACTGTAAAGGTTGAATAAGTCTGGTGAGAAGACACATCCTTGCCTTATGCCCTATTTCTATTTTTGTGTAATTGTTGAATTCATTTTCTATCCTCGTACAGGCAGTTTGCTCCCAATATGGACTCTGGGTAATTCTAATATCCTTCCCAAATAAATCAACCTTACCTGGCAGTTCACATAGTTCTTTGTGGTGTACCCAGTCAAATACTTTTGCATAATATATAAAACACAGTTGTGCATAGGCCTTACACATCGTTCTATTTTTGTATAAAAGTGACAAACCTCAGATCGGACGTGGTTTCTGGACCGAAGTATCATTGCTAGTAACCTGAGTGCCTTAACTTTATCTTTCTCTCGCTGTGTGCAAGTGTCAATATTTATACAGATGCAGCCTTAGTTCGACCATGGCGCCTCTTAATAAATTTTCTATTACTTTTTTGTTGATGACGGCATACATTTTAATCAGTTATACCGTGTTCAAACTGGCAATAAAACGTCGGCATCCAAATCTCAACTAACAATATATCGGTCATCCAGCTATTTCTCAAATATTGCTCTTTTTGATCTTCGTACTTTTCCCACTAGATATTTTAATTAAATGAAGTCTTACGACAATATCACGTTGATACACCGGTTCTCGGGCGATGACCGAAGTTAAGCAACGTCGAACCTGGTCTGTATGTAGATGGGTGACCGCTTGGGAATACCAGATGCTGTAAGGTTGGATATGCGGCTATGTTATGGATAACGGTTCAGAATTGGAGATAAGAGAGCCAAGTTCCAATTCCAATCGGGTTCTTTATATCCACTTACTTAATTAGTAGGATTTGTATCAGTAAATTATTATTTTATACAAAAATACTTAGAACATAAAAATATTTTTCTGGTTGTAAATAACGTGCAAAAGTTTGTTTTCTGTAAAAAAATAAATCAATTAATCAATCAAATCTTCAAGAACGCCATTTTTTAAAATAAACTGACAATATTCAGAATCAGGTAGGTATCGAAGTTTAAGTACCTAGTAGTACTGTAAGAGACGAAGGAAAATTCGACGCATATATCCGAAGACACATTGTAATAGCGAAGGATACATTCTGGAGGTCAAACAATGTATTAATGTAGAGTAATTGGCCATTGTTATGTGTAATTGTCAGAAATGCCCCAAAAATGAATTAAAAAAAAAATAAAATCAGTGTCACCCCAAGCAAGGCCGTAAAGACAGTAATTTACAAGGGGTTACTGAGTGTGGAAGAATTAGGAACAGAAACATTAATAATGAGTCGGAATTGAAAAGAGTAATCTGGAGGCCAGTAGATAGCGATTGACATTGCGTTTAAATTTTATGCACATAAAAGTCAGCTGGAAAGCATGGAGCCCAAAGGGAGTTCCACAAGCGAGAAGTACGAGAAAAGAAGCCGTTAGCATAAAATATATGGCTACATCTAGCCAGCTCAACTGTAAATTGATAAGATCTCAACGCCCGTCTAGTACTGCGCTTAAATTCAAAAAGTCTATGTAGCATAGCGAAGAGCTTAACCGAACAATTACCATGAAAGTATTTATAGAAAAGACACAGAGAGGCAACCTTTGACAAATTTTCCAGTAAACATTAATAAAAGAAAGAGATAAAGAACAGATCAAAAGAGCACTAAGCAAACAAAACTACGAAAGACAAAACTAGGCAAAGCAACATTAATAAGACAAAAAGTTCACAAAGTAACTGTGGCGTTAACACACGAAATTGATACAGACAAGTGGTTGTAGTATTCTGACAAAAAAGAACAGAAATATTGTAGATGAGAGCGTTAAGCGGTCTATCTTATTTGTTAGAAAAAAATCCCAGCATGCATCTGTATGAATTGTCGATAAATTTATGAAAAGGGACGTTTTTGCGTACGTTTCCAGGCGAATTGGAACCAGTAATTAGGAAGGGAAAATTTTGCTAGAAAACAGCGTTGAATTCTTATGTAATATCAAGCCTCTTATATGGTAGTAAATACTGGACAATTTTCTCGTAGATGAAGCTATGACTTCAAGCAAAGGAAGGATGCTGGGAATGGACAGTGCATGTAAACAACGAGGAAGTTTTAAGGAAAATGAGAATTAAATATACACTTGTACTTAAAATCAGAAAGTGGGAATTGAAATTTCTGGGATAAATAATAAGGAAGTAGGGCTTTAATACTCGAAAGATATACTGAAGTCAAGATGGACTGAAGGAAACATCGAATAATCTACCTAACGGGCTTGTGGATAAGTGGATAGCAGACGAGAGACTAAGTTGAATAGAAAGGCGGCAAAAGTTACAAGGCATAGGAGGCCGTGGAGAGTCATGGTCGCTCGCGTCCTGAACAGATACGGCACATAAAAGAAAGATATCGTATCACAAGATTAGGAAGCTGGGCGGTTAACGTGATCTCATATGGAAAGGCGATACGTCGTTCGAAATATATTGCGGCACTCCTTTCCGTGCAACCAGCAAACGGTGATGATTTGTAAGTTGTCTTCCTTTGATGTCTTCCCACTTACCTCATGCGCTCTGTATCGAATGTCCAACAGCTGTAGCGAGACGCTTGCTTTCCTGGATATGGCCAATTTCTTCTGTCGACATATTTCTTCTGTTTCTTGTGGTCTCCTACGATCGTTATTGCTTTAGAAGGTAACCTCCAACCGACACTGCATACTGTTACGACACCAACCACTTCGTTTATTTAAGGAGTGATTTTGCATTTTTTTTTTCTAATGCATTTACATTCTTTCTATCCGTTCATGACGGACGATCGCGCGCTTTTCACAAGTGAACCTCAAGAGTCTCGCAGCATTACCAATCTTATAATTCCCAACAAGTGACGTTCACAGTAGCTTCAGCTTTCATGTCGAGCTGTGTAATATCAAATTTATTAAGAAGATAAGTTCTTCCATCCGTTTTCTCGTCTAATATTTACTGCTTAAACGCTTCAGCGCTTGCAATCACGTGACATCCAATATATCCCCCAATATATCCTTTAAATCTTAAAGAAAACGATCCTATGACAAAGAAGAGCTTTCACGCTCACGATCATGAGAACTGCAACCCATTAGACTCGTCGGGGGACAACACGTACTGCAGCCGCAGTAGCAGTAGTGCTTCCAGAGAAAGATAGCCTTATATTAATTAATCCCTTAGATATTCAATTATATTAATTGATGAAGAGATAAAACGTATCAATAACAACAAGGGAGGGACTTTCTGAACAAATTCCCGGCATTTGAAACATTGACTAGCAATTGTTAAATTATTATTTGACAGAAATTGTTTAAAAATTGAAACGAAATTCCTTATTTACTTCATGGCACATGAGACAGAATTTAACTTTCATTTCAATCAGACGCAAGTCTTGTGTATGACAATAAACTTCATTCGGGAGCAAGGCCACTGATCGGGAGGTTGGAGGTTTTGAGGAGCGTGGAACTGTTGACCATGTTCACCATAGTCTATGAATATAGAATACAGCGCAGTACGTAATCTGTTCAATGAAACAACGTTAAAGATTAACACTCACGAGTCAGACACTTTACTGAATCTGGCTATATCGCCAATACCACCAGCAGCTGTTCCGCAATTCTTCAGTCTTCGATATCAAAGGCTGGCAGTGCATATTCGGGAAAAACATGACCGCCTTTATACACGTCGCATTGAATATTTTGAGCCTTCTGATTGGTTAACCCTTCTATTGGTGAACTATAAAATGAGTCAGCTCATTTTGGCTAGCTCACTAGTACACCAGATTACCCAAAAATTCCAACAGGAACCGTCTCTAAGTTGCCATTGTTCCCAGGTCCACCCTTCCGTCAGCAAGATCAGAGGTCATTAGGGCGGTAGGGGGAGAATACGTACGCAGCCGCAGCAGTAGTGGTGTTTCCGGAGCAAGATAGCCTTATAAAGGGTGTTTCATTAAGACGGATCAAAGTCAGCAGTAAATAAATCAGTGTTATTGGTGAAAATATATTTATTTCTCTATTGGATCAAGTTATTTAAGTCATGGCAATTACACGTGAAAAAATAATATCGCCCAAATGTCCGCCAAATCTGAAAGAAAAAGAAAAAAATTAGATGCTTAAACTTAATTCACAGTAAAATTGCTCCAAGTTATTGGAACACCCTTTATTAATTAATCCCTCAGATATTCAATTATATTAATTGATGAAGAGATTAAACGTATCAATAACAGCACGGGAGGGAATTCTGGACAAAATCCCAGCATTTGATACATTGACTAGAAATTGTTAAATTCTTATTTGACAGAAATTGTCTAAAAATTGAATCAAAGAAAAATACCCCAAAACTCACGATCACGACACCGATAAGCCATTAGATTCAAAAATACATAATATATGATTATATTTGGGGTATTAAAACCAAAAAATGCACACTATATCATGATATCTGGGGGATTAAAATAAAAATTTACAATATATCATTATAATTGGCTGATTAAAACCAAAAAAATACACCACATATCATTATAATTGGGGGATTAAAACCAAAAATTATAAACTTTTTGACAAAGAAATCACTTTTTTTAAAGAAGATTAAACCAATTTAATCGTTTAATCCTGTCTTTTTAGCGACGGTGATCATTAGGGATTTCCAGCAGTTAATCCTCATTAAAGTTTTAGGAATATCGCTCCTATTTATAGAGAATCTAATTTCCCTAACATTTCTCTTTGTTGAAGTATAGACTACAGCATATAAAGGGGCTTCATTATCAGCTTTGTCAAACTAAGCAAAATTTTTAGAAGGATCAACAGATATTTCACGTGGAATGTCGATTCTGAAATGATTGTTATGTTCACCATAAAGACCGTTATTGAATGCTTCTTAAAATTATCCTTTATACTGCAAAATAAAATAATCATAATCATCATCATTATCATCAGTCCTATGGCCGGGTGCGTTCGTAAGGTGTCTAGCCAGCTGAGTAACTGACCAGCTCTTTCTATATGTATTGGTTGCGTACCATTGTCTGAGTCTTTTTCAAGGATATTTCAGCCCACGCAGTGACATTGTCAGAGCATTTCTTCTTCTGTCTGGATCTTCTTTTCTTTTATCTCAGTTGGAACCTTGTAGCATGCCAATGGAAAGATTATTGTCTCTTATGGCGTGTCCATACCATCCCAACCTTATGAAGAGGAGGTTGGAATAGTTTGGATACACTCGGAGCTACTATACCTATAGACAATTGCTATATTTTTTAACTCCTGAAAAACGGAAAATATTAGATTGCTAGAAAACTTAATAAAAGATTAATTAGATCTTCCTTGTTGGACGTTTTCGATGAAAGATATATATATATATATATATATATATATATATATATATATATATATATATATAATGAAATGGAAAATTCCGACAATTATTTTTTAAGACATTTTTTATGTTTATACATTCTTTTATAGATACAAATATTTAAGAAAATGCTCTGTTTATAATAAACAGTATTAACAACATTTGCCGGCCTGAATATCCGAGAAATTTTCATAGAAAATATACATCCCCCGACAAGAATCGAACCTGTATCCTATAAGGAACCGTCATAGAGCCTGACGTGCTTTTACCGATTTAGCTACAGAGCGATCGAGATGCCATGGTCGCTTGGGGCCTAAATTGACAGTTACCATGCAGTCGTCTTCATTAGATAAGAATGAGTCCTTTATAAAGAGATCCTTCCGCGGG